CCTCTCGTGAACTCGAGGCGAGTTTAGTTTTTAGCTTGTCACTTTATTGAGCTTGGTAATTAACTAGCTGACGTATGCTTAAGCTATTAAAATTTAATTAAAAGCTATTTATAAAATGACAAGTGTTTGTTTTTATCGCACAAGATTCTGTTGTTGTTGACGTCGATCAGTCTATTTCGCATTATTGTAAATTCATATGACCCAGTAGGGAGCCAATAGTTTTTTGTTGTTCTAGAAACCAAAGATACTTAGACAAAATATTTATATTTTTACTACACTGCTGTTTCTTCTCGGTTACCCCATCGCCGGCTAGGTTTACCACTTCGCTTTCTCGTTTTTACCACTGACTCTCGCTTCGAAAACCTTTTTAGTTGCTGCGTCATCACTCATCCTTAAAATATGATGAAACCAGCGCAGCCGTGGACGTTTTTACGCTGGACAAGGTCAATGACGAGTTACAGTTCATACAATTCGTCGTGGGTCCGAATATGATATTCCGATATTAAATCACCGATATGTAAAATTTTATGAAGAATTTTTCTCTCGCACACTCCAAGCGCCATCGTATTCTCCAGAACTGGGACCCAACGACTATTTCCTGTTCTCAAATCTCAAAAGAATGCTTGCTTGGAAGAAATAACTGCGACCTATGAACATGGTATTGAAAAGTTGGAGGGTCGCTATAATCAGTGTATCACCCATAGCGGTTGGTCTTTCATTTCACCAGACTTATATTTAGAAAATTACAAAAATTCATCACAGATGGCTGTACATTTACAGAAAAAGARGAAGCTCATAAAGCAGCCCAACAGTCTTGCAACACTATTTCTATTACTTCCTACATACCTTAGATACCGAAAATTTTGCTATTGACATTTGTTTCCTGAAATCATCCAGAGAATTTCGGTGTCSCTTATATAGAGTATTTGAATAAAAAATATATTGGAGATAAAATTTCACTTCTTGTGACSCGTCATTTCCGCCAATTGCCTTCAATTATGCCGTAGAAGTAGTCATAGGTTAACTTATTTTCCTGAGACTAATATTATTGATTGACATCTTTCTGAAACAAATGTGCTCTGCACGAACCGCTTTGTATACGCTGCAACAGCACACTCTCCTTGGCCTGAAATCTAAGAAAATTGGGGGCTGTAATTTCGTTGTCTTTTGARTTTTGTACAGATCAAAGCTTTTGTAGAGCTTATTTTTTATAAACGTGTCGGAATTTGTTTAAAACACTAGATCATATCAATTAGAGAACCTACGTTATTTCTATACTTTTGGAATCCCTAAAAGTTCTCTAGCCGCTGGTAAAAGGCTGATCTATGTTTGAACTTGTTCCCTCGAACTTTTGCAATCGTTTTTATTTGTATATTTTAAGTCTAGTCTTTAAATATAGGAAAGCGCAAGACTGAGCCAATATGTGGCTAGCARTGGATTCTAGTTAAGAAAATATTAACAGATTTTCTAGTTATGATCTGGTTGTTAAACCAGAAAAATTGTGAGCTTGATAAAGTATTGTGGAAAATGTTTCTATCTCATCATACGAAAGATGAAGTCGAATATTACGTAAGAAAATGGAATACAAGTGCAAATGCCGAAATTTGTGCTTTGCTAAGCAATGGAAAATGTATGTGATAAAATATCAAAAAGCTCATATTTACTGATGTTAAGGTGAAATCTCTCTCGGCGTCGTCAAGAACTTGGAAGAAACAGTAGACAGTAAAATTGACCGAACTGCCTGCTATCGAGCGTCTCGAGCAGCCTGAATTCTCTACAGGGCCTCATTTACATCTATAGTATAGCGCCTACTAACTATGCTTATGATAATTACACGATAATTTTAGCTCAACTAAATTAAGTGATTTTTTGTTTGGGTTGTCGACATTGAATAAACGTCCATAAATTTCCTCTTACAAATACAACAGTAATTTGTAAAGAACATAATCACTATATTACGGCGTACATATACGAGTATAGTGCCTTAGCGTGCTAATTTCTGTAGTGATAAAATCACAAACATTTTATTTCCTTATTTATTAACGGCACCTTGCTGCCTAACGATGTTTACTTCTAAATTTTTTTTTTTTTGGCGGAAGCGCTATATACACAATTTTACTGCTCTACGTCAAATTATTTGGCACATTTTGTTTTACGACTTTGAAATTATGTCAGATTTAGCTTAAGACTAGCGTATAGTGTCTAATAATAGTTATTTATTTTAAAGTTTTTGTTTATGATTTCACTTTATTAGGATGTTAGTCTATTCAGTTAATTCTTGACCTGAAGAAGTGTTGGCCGCAGCTATGTCTCAGATGCTCCATCTGTTGAATCCAATTTTGACTTGTTCGAGCATTTTGACTGGTAACCAGCCAATGATACGCGCGATATTTTGCTCCAAMGCCTGAATTGACCGATCCAAAACGTTAAATTAACTGCTCACCAAAGTGTTCTCTCAATAAATCTTATAACTGATGCGTTGTGTGGCGCTGACTTATTTCTTCAGTTCTGCACAAGCTCTATTTTGTATGTTTTTAATWTAAAATCTCGACGGAGAATGCGCTATRTAGTTMCATACGTTAGTCTGAGTTGCTGCGAATGGCGCCGAATSGAYTCGCCGCGGTCATCGTGTGCATTGTCAAGTMTCTCCATCATTAAATGCYAAACGATACTGAACAAAAATAACGTGACAGCTTATTTAAAAAAAAATACCTCTACTTGGATCACYCCATGTATACAAGTATAAACCTACGAATACCTTGTAATGCCAGTTAGATATTCAGTTTAATAAGAGCTGAAGTTATTGTCGTACAGGCCGTYAACTCATATTGCGATGTAGAGACTTGATATTTAATACTGACACTTCATCTAATCTCTAGAACTCCGTAACTCCTAGATATCTGAGTCGACTTCTAGATGTTGCTTGAGCGAATCATAAKAGATGTTCTAGCGTCTCTTTCATCTTCCTTCCTACCTGTATCATCGTTAATAATGTCTATGTGGGCTATGGCCTTGTGACTTATGACTAAACCAACAAGCGATTAGCAGTCTTTTCGAAGCCGCGTGAGTAGAAAGCTTGCRTGTTTWCCTTTCACATGATATTCGCGTTGGTGCATGTCTTTAAGGCATTTCAACTCAACCTGATCCGTTTGTCAGCTCCTTCGGAAATTCTCATTGTGCATCGTTTTTAGCGACATCGCTTTTGCGTATTTCGATAATTGGTTCTAAGGAGCTCTTTCCTTTCCTAAAATTTTTGGAGCGTTAATGTCTACATGCACTCAAACCACAAGTCCACCTCAAAGCCTTTAAACCATGAAAGATAACACCAATATAAATAACCCSACTGTCTAGAATGTTCACCCTCTTTTGGTGACGACCATTCCCATGGATTAGGGGAATCTTTCACACGTATTTTTTATCTCTTGCTTTTTTCCATTGTATGCCAGGCAAATCAAGTGTTCCTCAAGTTGGTTCTACCTTGAGATGTACAAATTTTATGTTATGTTCCATAAAGGTCGTAATGAACTTTCTTTCGCATCTATTGGAGTCTGTTTAGACTATGCTTGGAAATCTTCTAAGTTCTTTAGAACAATGTGTGGGATGGTTTTGTGTTTGTTCCTGCAACGTAAGTTTCGATCACCTTAGAAAATTCGACGGCCGAATATAAAGATGAAGAACACGGTTTTAATAAAAGTTTATCGGGAGAAGCGAATACCCTCCTCTTCTTATATACATGTTCCTCATAAACGTTAAATATACMGCGCACCATCTAGCAATTCCTGAAAACTGTAAGCTTCTCATAYGAAAGTGAACTAAAAAGTAAAGAAGTCTTAAGGTACTGGACTCTTTGATTAGGTTTCTCGTCGACATACTATATGTCATCCGCCAGGAAGTTTAGGACAAGATACGAATTTTTCCCAAAGATCTCTTTTCTTTACAGCAAAAATCCCAACCGAAAGCTAAGGATTTACAACTCAGCTCATCTTTAAAGCTTTCAAGCAAGCATTAAAAATGTAAAAACCAATCTTTTATGCGGTTCTTTAAAAGCTGCATTTTCACTTTACTGCCGGCAATGATTCGTGATGTTGCTGATGTTCGTGATCTCACTCCCAAGCTTAGCTAATTATCATCAAATGAAACTCAATTTCACCGCAAATGTCAACTGAACTGTAATTAAAGCAGAAATGYGAAATAAACGAGGCAAAATAAACAAACCTCATCCGAATGCAACTCTGAAAGYCAAACAAAGCAAAAACAAAAATATAAAATCCTAACCTTTCGGATGGCACTCAATCAGCATAGTTGCMCTCAACCTCGCACGCTTGCAACCAACAAGTCTACCAGTCTACCATTGTTGTTGCTGTTGCTGTGGCATAGGAACGGCTGGATTGTGAAAATGTGGCAAAACCGCAGGCATTTTTGCTGAGTTTGCATACAACTGTCGACGTTGCTGTTGTTGTTGTGGCAAATGCACTTTCTTGATTGCACATTTGCAACAGTCAGCCAACCAGACAGACAGCCGTGCCGACACACATGTCATGCCGCTGGCGGTAAATGGGTGATGCGGCGGGTGCCACAAACGGGTAAACAGGTAGTCTTGCTGTGGCAACTTTGAAGTGCTGCTGGCATGTGGCACGCATGCAGTGTTTATTTTTCCGACCGCCACTTSGTCGYTCTGCTTTCTACYAAGCGCATATTKATTGTTGTTGTTGTTGTCATCGTTGTCGAGTATTCGTATAATTGGCACTCAGTAATCTCCACTGTTGCTATTTCGTGGTTGCAACTGCAATGYGTCCGAGCGATTTTGATTTGCCTCAAGTTTCTCATGCTTTCGTTGGAAGTCGCGCCGACGGGCGATACGCATTGGCATGCGTACCGTTTTAAATGGTTTTACCATGAATTTATAATACCGGCATTCGCTATAAAAGTTTAAGACCTAAGACATATTTTCAARCTAGAAGTTCAGTCACTCCATACTAATTATTTCTCTTTTCTCTTTCAGTGTGTGAAGAGCTTCGAACGTATGCAAATTTGGTAAGTTTATTTCATAGAATATTATCGTAAATTATCTCAATATTTACTTAGACTTTTTAAATATTAGTCGGCTTCGCTTCTTCTTCCTCCCTAATGGGATAGACACCGCTTACGCGGTTATAGCCGARCTTACAACAGCACATCGTTTTTCCTTTTTGGTGTTTGGAGCCACTTAAAGATTCTTAAAGTCCTTATCTACCTGGTCTTTCCCACGGAGTGGAGGTCTTCCTCAGCTTCCCCGGCGGGTACTAAAACGCTTTAGTATTTTTATCCATTCGTACGATATGCGGTATTCGCCGTTGCCAATGTGCAGAAAACCAAAAATCCTCCTTAGAACCTTTCTCTCAAAATTTCGTAACACCGACTCATCAGATGTTGTCTTCCTACATGGCTCTGCACCATATAGTAAGACCCGAATGAAGAGTGACTTGCACAATTGGGTCTATGTTCGTCGAGAGAGGATTTTACTTCTCAGTTGCCTACTCAGTCTGAAATAGCACTTGTTAGCAAGAGTTATTATGCATTGGATTTCATGGCTGGCGTTGTTGTTGGTGCTAATGCTGGTTTCAAGATAAACGACATTATCTACGAGTTCGAAGTTTTGACTGTCAACAGTGACGTGAGAGCCAAGTAGYGACTGCGACGACTGTGCGTTTGYTGACAGGAGATATTTCGTCCTGCAATCGTACCCAGACCAGACCCATTTGCTTCGTTTCCTTGTCCAACTTGGAGAAAGCAGAAATAACGGTGCGCTTATTACGGCCAATGATATCAATATCAGCGGCAACCACCAGCAGTTGTACACTCTTACAGAAGATTGTACCTGCGAGATTAAGTTCTGCAGCTTGAATTATTTTCTCCAGCAGTAGATTGAAGAAGTCGCACGAGCGTCGTCTGAAACCTCGTTCGGTATTGAACGACTCGGATAGGTCCTTACCAATCCTGACGGAGCTTTTGGTATTGTTCAACGTCAGTTTACACAGCCGTATTAGTTTGGCCGGGTTAYCAAATTCAGACATAGCAGCAGTTATTTTTCGTGCTGTCGAATGCGGCTTTAAAATCGACGAAGAGGTGGAGTGAGTGGATCTTCATTTTACGGGTATTTTTCAAGATTTGACGCATGGTTTAGAGTTTCCATGTCTAAGTACACACTGATAAGGTCCAATCAKGTTTTTGACAGCGGTCTTCAGTCTTTCACAGAGTACGGTAGTCGGCGCAGATTGTAGCACCTCGCTTGTTGTGGAATGCTTAAGCTCCAATCGTCGGTCATGCTGTCGTCCCACCAGTTCTGCGCCGCCGTGTTTTAATAGCTATGCCGGCA